AGAGAGACAGAGATAGAGAGTGAGTGAGAGTGAGAGTGAGAGTGAGGGAGAGAGACAATAGCAACACAAGCACAACAAACAGTTTGCCGCTGCATCATACGATGTAAAGAATGCTTCCAGGAATTTGGGTCATAATTAATGTGGCATGATTTCAAGACATTTTAATCAAAGCGAATTGAGAGGGCAACTACAGCAGCAACTACAGCAGCAGCAGCAACAGCAGCAACAGCAATAGCAGCGGCAATAAGCTTCAAGGTTTGTAATACCTTTGAAAAGTGTCACAGATACACACACACACACACACACACACACACTCCAACACACACACACACACACACAGACACAAGGCAGTTGAGCGCATTTAAAGTCACATCAATCATACGCAGCGGTGGCCCAGCTGTTCAATTGCAATACCATAACTCATTTTTATAGGCCGCCGCCACGCTCCCAGTGCTCAGTTCGCTGAAAACTTGCGCACCGGGATTAAGATTTGCGGCCGAGATTCCAACCATGCCCAGGCTCAACTTCACGTCGCAGTCACTAAATTACAACAACTATTACAAACACACACACACATGCGCAGAGTAAGAGCGAGAGAGAAAGAGGGAGAGACAGAGAGAGCGAGAGGACGAGAGGGCGACAGGCCGTGCCCGAGTGTCTGGCGTGCTGGCATTGCTGTTGGTTGGCCTGCAGCCTGTTGGCCACGTCTATTGGTATATGGCTTTTGTGCTTTTGTGTGTTGGCCGTGTTGTAATTTCTTGGAAATTTCTGTTTTATGCGCGCACAACTTGGGCCAGCGCGAAATTTATGAGTCTCTGGCTGGCCAAGTGCAACACCTGGTAGCAGCCAGGAAGCCTAGCCTAGCCTAGCCTAGCCTAGCCTTCACCAGCCAACCCCCACCCCAACCCCAATCCCTAAGGCTCGCCGCAAATTGCACTGGCAGTGCTTCGACTTCGGCGTCGGCGTCGGCTGCGTGCTCTGTGCTTGAGCTTTAAATGGACTTTGATATTCCTGGGCTGAATGGGCCCGCATTTATTTGATATCCCTTTTGTGACTTTGCCACTGTGCGTGACATTTGCGTTAAGTGCGTCAAGAGTTGTGTGGGAATATTTGCAACTTCAAAAACAACAGACAAACAGACAGACGGACGGACGGGGAGACAGCTGAACTGCCAAAGTTTTCATTTGTCTGATTTTGTCAGCGCGATAAGCAACAAAGTTGCAACAACAAATGAAAATCCACGACGAAAATATTGTCAAAAAGTCGAACTGTTGCTTGCCTCGTCTAACACGTGCTCAATTTGCTCATGGCATATGCTAATGTGCGAGTGCAATGGCAATACGCACGCCAGAGTACCGTTAGCTAGCTGAATGAGTGTGTGTGTGTGTGCGCCTATGATTTGTAGCTGTTTGCTTGTGTGCTTATGTTTATGTGCATGTGTGCCTGCGAGTGTGTGTGTGTGTGTGTGTGTGTGTGTGTTTGGCAAAGCCTTCACATGCTTAAATTGCATTTGTTTGCTGTCTCTGGCTAATTAAAAGTGCATTTATATGACTGCACTCGCACAGGAGCTCGACTATGCCAATTGCGCTCAGAACGAAGCTGTAATACGCTTGACATGTGCCGTGATATATGCAYAAATGAATGAATGAATGCACGAATGAATGAATATACCTATACATGCATGCAGCATAAATGAATAAAGTTATTTACGTTTGTATATATGAACCTTATATGTATGTAAATATGAGTTGCAAGTTCCAAAAGAAAAGTTGTTTAAATAAGATTTTCTTTATTAGTAAAATCTGAGCGAATGCCTAAAAATTGTATTTACATTAAATACCATTAAATACATTAAATACCAACTTATGTGAAGCTTATAACTAATTTCAAATTGTTATAATACATACAGTGAGTAACAAAAATATTCATTTTTATTTTATTATTTTATATTATAGTAGAAAAATAATTCTACTTCAAATGCCCATAAAATATGATATATCAGTTGAAATTAAAA